TTTTTGAGACAGAGTCTTGCTCTGTCACCCAGGCAGGAGTGCAGTGGTGCAATCTTGGCTCACTGTAAGCTCCACCTCCTGGGTTCACACCATCCTCCTGCCTCAGCCTCCCTAGTAGTTGGGACTACAGGCGCCCACCACCACGCCTGGCTAATTTTGTTTTTGTTTTTTGTTTTCGTATTTTTAGTAGAGATGGGGTTTCACCGTGTCAGCCAGGATGGTCTCGATCTCCTGACCTCATTACCCGCCTGCTTCAGCCTCTCAGAATGCTGGGATTACAGGCGTGAGCCACCGTGCCTGGCTGATGCTTGTAATTTCTTAAAACATATTCTATTATTTCAGTACCTTTAGGCCTTCCCTACCTCACTGTTGACTGCTATAATACAGAGACCCTTTGCATATAGCTTTTTTTTTTTTGAGACCTAGTCTTGCTCTGTCACCCAGGCTGGGTGCAATGGTGCGGTCTTGGCTCACTGCAGACTCTGCCTCCCAGGTTCAAACGATTCTCCTGCCTCAGCCTTCTGAGTAGCTGGGAATACAAGTGTGTGCTACCACACCAGGCTGATTTTTGTATTTTTAGTAGAGATGGGATTTCACCATGTTGGCCAGGCTGGTCTCAAACTGCTGACCTCGTGATCTGCCTGCCTCGGTCTCCCAAGATGCTGGGATTATAGTCGTGAGCCACTGCTCCTGGCCCTCCATAACACTTTTATAAAGGATGAAAAACATTCCAGGCATGTGTATCCAAGACCATTCTTGCCAAGGGGCCTATAGGAGTAGACTATAGGAAAGTTGTATAAAGAGATGAGAATAGTCCCATTTGCAGTTCAGATTGAACGTCTGTGTGTCAGTTATTTTTCTAAACATTGGGGATATGAATATGAGTTAACGTATTTTTGTGTTCCTAAAATTTTTTTGTCTTCTATGGAGAGAAACAGTTGAAAGTAAGTGTTAGCAATAGATTTGTATTCAGAGGAAGGAAATAATAGGAAAGAAATAGGGAGAAAAAGCATTGCTTTCATAAGCAGTAATGGTGTCCTAAAATCTGCGCTTATTCAGTCTCTGTACTATTTCTAAATTATCCCTTCCTTCTTCAGGTTTTGCCCTAAACTGTTTCTAGAAAATCTGTTCTGGGTCAGTTGTGATGAACTCACTGTAGGGTTGACGAGATAGGCACATGGGTTGGATTTCTTTATTTTTGTATTGATGAAGGATTGTATACATTGTATAGCCGACCATCTAAATAAGTTTACATGTTGTGTATTTTTTTGTTAGGGATTTATCTTCGGAAGAGGAAAGGTTTATGAAACCTAAAGTAACAATGATAGCTTGGAATCAGAATGATAGCATTGTTGTCACAGCTGTGAATGATCATGTCCTCAAAGTGTGGAATTCTTACACTGGACAACTGCTTCATAACTTACTGGTAGGTAGTTTCTGGTACAGTGTAACAAATGAGATTTTTTGAACTATGATTTTAATTTTGAAGCTATAAAAATAATATACTGAACAAGTTTCTTTCATGTAAACTATGAAATGATTAGAAATTTTTATAATTATAAATTATTGTCTAATACATTTTTAAAAGTATATGCTGTAACAGTATGTATTTTTAAATTTTCAATTTGTAACTTGTAAACCCTCCTTAATGTTACGATTTTGTTAAAGGGACATGCTGATGAAGTATTTGTTCTGGAGACGCATCCCTTTGATTCCAGAATTATGTTATCTGCAGGACACGATGGCAGCATATTTATATGGGATATTACAAAAGGTACCAAGATGAAACATTATTTTAATATGGTAAGTGAAGTGAGATGTACCTTGATACATGCTTGAATTTGTTTAGAGTGTTTGGGTTACAAGGCTTAGCCAGAAATTGATCTGCTTGTTTTGGCAGTGTGTTTTTACAAATCAGCATATTCAAAGCCTGCTAAATATTTGACAGTTACATGTATATACATACATACGTGACATTCTCTGTATGACTGATTTATATGAGGGAGACATTTTTAAGTTACTTGTTCAGCATTTTGTGTGCCTGTATGGTTTAAATTGGTAAAATTATGGCAATTATAAAAACTTTTTCACTACTTGGATTTATTGAAATATTTGATAACAAATAGAAATATAAAAATGGTAACATAAAATAATAAAATGACATTATTAATATTCAATATTAACCAAATATTACAGTATTTGATTACTGGAGTTTTAGTAACCCTGGGCTGGGTGTGGTGACTCTGAACTTCCAGCACTTTGGGAGGCTGAGGCAGGAGGATTGCTTGAGCCTAGGAGTTCAACACCAGCCTGGGCAATGTAGTGAGACACTCTCTTAAAAAAGAAAACTCCCAAGATGGTTGATCTAGAAATAAAACATTATAACCTTTTTCTTTTTGCACAGGTATATTCTTAAAAAAAAAAAATAGAAAAAAAGTTTGCATACGTGTATTCTAGAACCAAATGAGGATACTACTGTATCTTTTTAGAACTTCTTCACATAATCATAATTATAGTTACTAATCAGGAAATTTAACATTTATAAAATAGCATTATCTAGTCAGGTCTATATTCAAATTTTTTTGTGTTGTCTCAGTAACATCTTTTTAGATACATTTTGCTCCGTGGACCAGAATCCAGTTCAAGCTCATGCATTGTGTTTAAGTGGTTGTATCTTTCTAGTTTTCTTTTTTTTCTTTTCTTTTCTATTTTTTTTCTTTTTGAGACGGAGTCTCGCTCTATCGCCCAGGCTGGAGTGCAGTGGCGCGATCTCAGCTCACTGCAAGCTCTGCCTCCCGGGTTCACGCCATTCTCCTGCCTTAGCCTCTCAAGTAGCTGGAACTACAGGCACCCACCACCACGCCTGGCTAATTTTTTTGTATTTTTTAGTAGAGACGGGGTTTCACTGTGTTAGCCAGGATGGTCTTGATCTCCTGACTTCTTGATCTGCCCGCCTTGGCCTCCCAAAGTGCTGGGATTACAGGCGTGAGCCACTGCGCCCGGCCTCTAGTTTTCTTTAATTATCATCAGGCCCCTCTCAGCCTTTTTTGTTTTTCGTCTTCATTGGCCTTTAACTTTTGTTGAATATTAGCAAGTATTATTACAGAGTGTTCTCAGTTTTGTCTGATATTTTTTCATGATTAGATTGTTACAGTTTTTTAAATGAAGTAAAACATAAATGATATTGTGTCCTTCATGAATCATGTTAGGAGGCACGTGGTGTTTATTTGTCCCCTTATTATGGTGATAATTTTCTGTTTTTTTTTTTGGAGATGGAGTTCTGCTTGTTCCCCAGGCTGGAGTGCAATGGTGTGATCTGGGCTCACTGCAACCTCCACCTCCTGGGTTCAAGCGATTCTCCTGCCTCAGCCTCCCGAGTAGCTGGGATTACAGGCACCTGCCACCACACCCAGCTAATTTTTTGTATTTTTAGTAGAGACAGGGTTTCACCATGTTGGCCAGGCTGGTCTTGAACTCCTGACTTCAGGTGATCACCTGCCTTGGCCTCCCAATATAATTATTGAACTAATTTTTTTACTAGCTCTTTTGAGACTAATCTAAATAACCTGTTTCTTATTAAATTTTTACCCACAAATATTGGATCCATTGAAGATTTTCCAGTGGCATCATTCCTTCCATATTTATTAGTTGGCATCTTTGCATACAGTGGTATTTTTTTTTTCCTCCTCCAACTTTTAAGTTCAGGGGCTACCTGCTATGTGCAGGATGTGCAGGTTGGTTACATGGGTAAATGTGCTTGCACGTAGTTTTGTAATCTTATTTCATGTAAAAATCTTTTTTTGAAATTTTTATTTTTAAAGAATTTATGGATGTATTTTTGAGTATAAATTCATCCTGTCTCAGAAGAAAGTTAACTTTTACACAATTTCTATTGTTGAGTACTTAAGTGGTTTCTAAAATATGTATGACACTTTGAATAGCCTTGTACATGATTATTTCCCTGAGATAAATTCTGAAGGAATTATTGTGTAAAAGGGTTTTAGCATTTCTAAGGCTTTATATGTGTGAGACATTTTGTGAGTTTACTCTTCAGCTTATACTGAGTTACAATTCAAAGTGTACTTTTTTTTTTTTTTGAGACAGAGTCTCGCTCTGTCACCCAGGCTGGAGTGCAGTGGCGCGATCTCAGTTTACTGCAGGCTCCGCCTCCCGGGTTCATGCTATTCTCTCACCTCAGCTTCCTGAGTAGCTGGGATTACGGGTGCCTGCCACCACGCCCGGCTCATTTTGTTTTTGTATTTTCAGTAGAGATGGGATTTCGCCGTGTTAGCCAGGGTGGTCTCAATCTCCTGATCTTGTGATTGCCTGCCTTGGCCTTCCAAAGTGCTGGGATGACAGGCGTGAGCCACTGTGCCTGGCCTGTGTAATGTATTTTAGGTGCAGTGTAGTAGCATCCTATTGATGAATTCTTAGACCTTTGAGTCTCAGGTTCTTAGACCTTTGATTAAATGCGTTCTAAAACATTTCAAATAGTATGACCAAAGTACAAATACACGATTAGGCATCTCTGAAAGCTGTGTTTCTGTGTGTTCAAATTATTGGAAAAAGAACTAAGCATTCTCGTACAATTTTTCTATCGTTTTAAAATCCATAGGATAACATCCATTACCTTAACTATCCTTTGAAACTCAGAACTAATATTACATCCTGAATTTAACTCCTCAAAACAAAAACTACATTAATTTAGGCTTTGAGCAGAATATTAGCGGAAAAATTCCATGCCAAACAATAATCTGAGAAAACTTCACGTGGGCAACAATAATCTTTCCAGTTGCATAGCGAACATTGGCCTTGTTTATTGACATTTCCTTACTGCTCAGCTGAGAGGCTCATAATTCCTAATTCTAGATAAACTAAATAGAGTTGTCAGTTACTAATAGCAACAATATTTCATGAATACATAATAAACTTTAATGTGACATTTTTCTCAGACACAGTTGCAGGTTGCATTTTGTCAGGAATCATTGTATAGGACGCTTCAAATTACAAGTGAATCCCCGTTTTCCTTGCTCTGCTTAAATAGGTTTGCCCACTTGAGAAAACTTTCATCTCAGCAAGTATTCTTTTGGTGCAGTTAAGTCCACGTGTACGACGGGAAGAGTTGCTGCCACCATCTTCAGCTTGCCAGCTTTGAGATTTTGCCACTCCCTCTCCACCAGTGTCTGCTTTAACTGACTGACGGTCCCAGGCCAGGGATGCAAAGTGGTACACAGGCGCAGGTTGTGCTGTGGCACAGGTGGCTCCTGGAAGGACCATGTGGATGAATCCGTGTTCCTATGTTTTAATGATCAGTTGGAGGAAAAAAATATATATATACAGAAACACAATTTTTTCCTTTTTTTTTTTTTTTTTTGAGACAGAGTCTTGCTGTGTGGCCCAGGCTGGAGTGCAGTGGCGCAATCTCGACTCACTGCAAGCTCCACCTCCCGGGTTCACACCATTCTCCCGCCTCAGCCTCCGAGTAGCTGGGACTACAGGCGCCCGCCACCACGCCCGGCTAGTTTTTTGTATTTTTAGTAGAGACGGGGTTTCACCATGTTAGCCAGGATGATCTCGATCTCCTGACCTTGTGATCCACCCGCCTCGGCCTCCCAAAGTGCTGGGATTACAGGCTTGAGCCATCGCGCCCGGCCTCCTTTTTATGTTAAGAGAATATGAATTAATATGCACATCTTATTCAGCAATCCTCTGAATATCCGAGTAACTTTATTTTTTCCACGTTCGATAATTGGCATCCATTCATGTGCAGCAATAGTGAGGTATCACTATTCAAGCAGTGACTTATTTGGGTGTGGACGTGAGTTTGTTCTGGCACTTACTGAGTAGATGTCTCATTTTTCCAACACTGAACACACAATGTTTAGTTACTGGAAAGTTAAAGGTGCAGACAAAAAACATGTATAGCTCTACCCTGCAGAGTTAAACAAATAACTAACAACTATAAATTGATAGTATTAAACTAATAGACTTTACAGTTTAAAAGGAAGAATAAAACAGTATAAAAATAATCTATTTAAGGTTACACTCATGATAGATTTAGAGCATCCTTTCTGAAATCTCTGGCAGTTTGAAGTTCAGGTAATTGTGACTGTGGGCTTTTCCATATATAGGCTTGAGATCTGGCAGCATTGCCAAATTTTGCATGGTGCTTAGTCATCTTGGTGAGCTGAATTAGAGCCCTCCTTAAAATCTAGGGAAGTGTTCATTTTAGTTCACGAATACCAAATTTTCTTAATCTTCATTCATTTATCTTGTAGCTTATTATCCTTTTATTATATATAAGACAAAAATTTATGAAATTATTTATAAGAAGTAAAAGAAGCCTTCACTTTGGATTCGGTTGTTAGCTTTCATTTGAGCACTTGGAGAACTAATGCTTAGAAGAACTTTGAAGACCTTTTTCTAGGCTAGTTATATCTAAAATGAATTTTATTTTTTGGGACTAGTGATTGATGTATATGCTTAATGAAACATTTGTTTTTATTTTTATTTTACAGAGTCTCACTCTGTCACCCAGGCTGGAGTGCAGTGGAGTACAGTGGTGCAGTCTTGGCTCACTGCAACCCCTGCCTCCTTGGTTCAAACGATTCTTGTGTTTCAGCCTCCCAAGTAGCTGGGACTACAGATGCACACCACCATGCCTGGCTAATTTTTTGTATTTTTAGTAGAGACAGGGTTTCACCATGTTGCCCACGGTGGTCTCGAACTCCTGTGCTCAGGCAATCTACCTGCTTCCACCTCATAAAGTGCTGGGATTACAGGTGTGAGGCACTATGCCAGGCTGAAACATTTGTTTTTAAATTTTTTTTTCAGAAGGGTTATATTGTCACAGGTTATCCACATTAAACAAGTTTACATAGCAAATCACTTGCATAGAATTGGTCCTAACTTTTTCCTCTTTGTGTTTCCTAGATTGAAGGACAAGGACATGGAGCTGTGTTTGACTGTAAGTTTTCACAGGATGGACAGCATTTTGCCTGTACAGATTCTCATGGGCATCTTCTGATATTTGGTTTTGGATGCAGCAAGCCATATGAAAAGGTCATTTTTAATACTTTGTTGTCGCATGCAAGTAGTAGTTATGAGCTGACAGTTTAGCTGACTGATTTGATTTCCTTGTTTTTCTAGTTTTAATTAACTGTTTAACATTTGTTTCCTTTAATATGTATGAACCTTAAAATGTCATCCTGTGAACTTCATTTTTCTAGATTCCTGATCAGATGTTCTTCCATACTGACTATCGACCACTTATTAGAGATTCTAATAATTATGTCTTAGATGAGCAAACTCAGCAGGCTCCTCATCTTATGCCTCCACCATTCTTGGTAGATGTAGATGGAAATCCTCATCCAACCAAGTATCAGAGATTAGTACCAGGCCGAGAAAATTCCGCAGATGAACATTTGATTCCACAGCTGGGCTATGTGGCAACAAGTAAGTGCAGTCCTTTTTTTTTTTTTAAAGTTGTATGTGAATATCTTAAAGTATAATATAAAGAATTTCCTTCCCTTTAGATCCCCCAGTTATTAATATTTTGCAATATTTGTTTTATCTTTTTTTTATCTGTGTATTGTTTTGAACCATTTAACTTCTGGACCTCATGCACCATTTACCTCTAAATAAGAACAACATTCTCTTACATAACCATAGACACTTATGACAATTAGGACATTTTACATTCAAATAATATTATCAAATCTGCAGTGTATAACCAAAAATTTCCAGTTATTCTAATAATGTCTGTTTATAGCTTTTAAAATTCTCCCAATTTGGGACCACATATGAAATATGAAATTTAGTTGTCATAGTTCCTTCGTTTCCTTTAATCTGTAGCAGGTTGTCGGTTTTTGACTTCCATGATATTGATGTATTTGAAGATTATAGGTCAGGAATTTTGTAGAAGGCCTCAATCTGGGTTTGTCTGCTTCCTCTTGGTTAGGTTCCAGTTATGCATTTTTGACAGAATACAACATAAATGATGTTCTAGTCTTAATAGAGCATCCTGTCAGGATGCTTATGATTGTGGTTTGTCTAATTACTGGTAATGTTGTTTTTGAACCCTTGGTTAATGTGGTGTTTGCCAAGTTTCTTCACTATAAACTTAATATTTTTCTCTTTGTAATTAATGGTAATTTGTGGGGAGGTATGTCAATAACCTGTTCATTGTCAAACTTTACACTCAAGTTTTAGGACCCATTGATGAGTTTTGCCTGAATCAGTTGTTACTGTGAATACTACAAAGTGGTTATTTTCTAACTTTGTCATTGTTCCGTCATTGTGTCATATGTATCATTGCATATGACTGTCTATTGCTCACCCCTTTATTTATTGATGAGGCTCATTACATTTTAGTATGGGCTTCTGTCTGTGGTTAGTGGGTTATATTATTCACATAATCCTTAGGTTTGACTCTCAGAGCCTTTTGAAACTGCCCTTTCCCAAGTCCCTTATACTTTTTCAGTCACTTCTTTCCTTTTCTGGATGTAGGGTGTTCCAGGTTTGTCTTGTACTTTTCTCTGTCGTAGCCAAGTGCCAAGTTCTTTTTTGTGTTAATAGCAGGGCAGCGTTTCTCTACAGATGTTAAAGAAAAAATGCTATTTGTGTTTTTGGATGAGGATTTATTGAAACTAAATCACCAGCTACATATAAAGTTAAAACCTAATGTAGATTACTATATGCTGGCTATTTCAAATGTTATTTTTAATTTTATTGAAGTGTACTTTATATACAAAATTCACCAATTTTAAGTGTACAATTCAAGAGAGAGAGAGAGTGTGTGTGTGTGTGTGTGTGTGTGTGTGTGTATTTTTTGAGGCAGGGTCTTACTCATTTGCCCAGGCTGGAGTGCAGTGGTGCGATCTTGGTTGACTGCAGCCTCTGGCCTCCCAGGGTCAAGTGATCCTCCTACCTCAGCCTCCTGAGTAGCTGGGACTGTAGGCGTGTGCCAACACATCTGGCTAACTTTTGTATTTTTAGTAGAGACAGAGTTTTGCCATGTTTCCCAGGCTGTCAAATATGTTTTGACAGATGTTAAATAATCAAGTAACCACCACCACAATCAAGATATGAAACATTTATACCGCCCCCAAAAGTCCCCAGGACCTGTTTGGAATCAGTCCTCTCCTTTCTCTCAGTCCCTTGTAAACAGCGTTATATTTTCTGTCACTTTAATTTTGTCCTTTAAGAGGGTTTTATATACAAAGTGTAATCTTTTTTTTTTTTTTTTTTTTTTAGGAGACAGAGTCTTGCTCTGTTGGCAGGCTGGAGTGCAGTTGCACAATCTTGGCTCACTGCAACCTTGCCTCCTGGGTTGAAGTGGTTCTCCTACTTCAGCCTCCTGAGTAGCTGGGACTATAGGCCTGTGCTACCACACCCAACTAATTTTTGTATTTTTAGTAGAGATGGGGTTTCGCCATGTTGACCAGGATGGTCTTGATCTCTTGACCTCATGATCTGCCTGCCTTGGCCTCCCAAAGTGCTAGGATTACAGGCGTGAGCCACCGCGCTTGGCCACAAAGTGTAATCTTTTGTGTCTGGCTTCTTTGACTTAGTATGGTGCTTTTGAGATTCCTTAGTGTTGTTGCATGTATCAGTAGTTTGTTCCTGTTTATTCATTGGGGCAGATAGTGCCCCATGAAATAGATGGGTATATCATCATTTGTTTTTGCATTCACTGATGGTTAAAGGTTTGTTTCCAGTTTGGGGCTATCATCCAGATTGAAACATCCAACTGTCACGTGGAATTTGTCATTTCTCTCTCCAGTTTACTCAGTTCTTTATGTATTTTAAAGCTCATTCATTAGGTGCATACACATTTTGGATTGCTTGTCTTCTGGATGAAATAATTCTTTTCTCATGAAATGTTTCTCTGTATTTCTGAAAATATTTTTTGTTTTGAAGAGTCTTGTTTCATATTAATATAGCCAATTCAACTTCTTTTGGATCAGTATTGTCATGGTATATCTTTTGTCAATTCTTCCAGCTGATCTGTGTCTTTATATATCAAATTTGATAACTTGTCTTTTAATTGGGATTTAAGTATTAAGTACTCTATTGAAAGTGTAGAGTGTTTACACTTAAATGTTCATATAGTATGGGTTCGAACATAGAGTATTCCTATTTGTTCCCTCTATATTCTTTTCGTTCTTTGTGCCTTTTTCCTTTTTCTTTTTTTCTTCTTATTTGGGATTGGTGATTTTTTTGTGTTCCATATGACCTCCACTAATTTCTTATTAGCAATACCTGTTTATTTGTATGTAATGATTGCTTTAGGGCAGAAATTGTCAATGTGTGGTTTGCAGGTCCATAGGTGTATCTGCAACCTTTTATGGAGTCTGCAAGGTCACAGCCATCTTCATAACAATACTGAGATATTTATTTTTTTATAGTGTTGACATTTGTACTGATGGATCACAGGTGGGTAGAAATAAACTTCTGGCAAGTGTAGCACAAATCTTGGTTGTGGCACCAAAATAATAGGAGTTATTATATCCTTTACTGCTCTGCATTTGAATACATGTCTTTTTAATATTCTAGATATTAAAACTGGAAGTGTGCATAAAGCACTTCTGCTGTGTATTCTGGCTCCTGGGAACTTGAACTATTTTCTGCCCTGTGGGAGCTCTGCAAATTTTTTGCGCAACTGCTTTTTTATGTTTTCCCCTCAGTAGTGGAGTTCTACCCCATGCGTACACATATCAGTAGTTAATTAAAAAAATTTTTTTTTGAGACAGTGTCTTGCTCTGTTGTCCAGGCTGGAGTTCGTTGGTGTGATCTTGGCTTATCTCGGGTTCAAGCAGTTTCCCTGCCTCAGCTTCCCAAGTAGCTGGGACTGCAGGTGTGCGCCACCACTCCAGGCTAATTTTTGTATTTTTAGTAGAGATGAGGTTTTACCATGCTGACCAGTCTGGTCTTGAACTCCTGATCTCAGGTAATCTGCCCGCCTCAGCCTCCCAAAGTGCAGGGATTACAGGCGTGAGCCACCATGCCCGGCCATGTATCAGTATTTAGTCAGATAATTGATGGGACCTCACTACAGATCTCTGGAGCTTTGTGTGCAGTTCACTCTCCTTTGATATTCAGTCCTGCGTATTTTAACTTTCCTCTTCCAGCAAACTCTCATCTCGGTCTCCTCAACTCAGTTAGATCTGTGGATGCTGTTTGGGTTCTGTCTTTTGTTCTGTAACTTGGAGACTACCTGCAGACAGTAATCTGGAGCAATCAAAGGGTTTGTCTCCATTGTTCCCCTTCTCTCAGGGATCACAGTCTTGTGCTGCCTGTTGTGCAATGTCTGAAAGCTTTTGTTTTATGTATATTTTTTCCAGTATTGTAGTTGTTTATGGCAGAAGGCCACTTCCTCTATCAGTTAAGCTTTCATGGGTAGAACCCTCTTTCAGTATTTCAGTATCGATTGTATTATTCCATAGAGACAGTTAACATTGTGATATTTGAGAAGTTAACAGTTAAGTGTTCTGTGCTATGAAAGAAAAGTTAAGCTGAGTGCAGTGGCTCACGCCTATAATCTTAGCACTTTGGGAGGCTGAGGCAGGCGGATTGCTTGAGCTCAGGAGTTCGAGACCAGCCTGGGCAATATAGCAAGACCTTGTCTCTACCAAAAAGAAAAAAAAAGGAAAGCTATATAGACTTAGGTTATTTTGGTTTATGACGATTAGAAATCTTTGCCGTTTTCCCTTTAGTATCATGTTGTAATCTTAGAAATTTTGTGTTATAAGCAATTCTAATGAAAGTCTTCTTATCTTTTTAGATTAAGGCTCTACTGCCTTTTCAACTCATTTTTTGAGAGTGATAAAAGGTTACTGATTTTTAAAGACAAAGTTAATATGAGATATGACATTTAGCTCTTTTAAGTTCTTCATGAGTTTCCATAATAAAACAAAGACATTATCAGTAATATGCAAGGGAGTCTTAGTTAGCAGAATGGAAATGTGACCCCCCTTGCCCATCCCATAATACTATATGAGGTTTCGCAGTTTCTCTGTATGTTTTTATGGTGGCAAGTTATATTTTTGCATTCCTTTTGATTATTACCTTATTAATCTCCTTTATTTTTTATTTAATTATCTATCTATCTATCTATCTATTTATTTATTTATTTGAGATGCAGTTTGACTCTGTCACCCAGGCTAGAGTGCAGTGGCATGATCTTGGCTCACTGCAACCTTTGCCTCCTGGGTTCAGGCAGTTCTCTAGACTCAGCCTCCCGAGTAGCTGTGATTAACAGGTGTGCGCCACCAGGCCTGGCTAATTTTTTTTGTATTTTCAGTAGAGACTGATCTTGAACTCTTGACCTCAAGTGATCCACCTGCCTTGGCCTCCAAAAGTGGTAGGATTACAGGTGCGAGCCACCACGCCCCAGCTGTAATCCCAGCACTTAGGGAGATTGAGGTGGGCCAATCACGAGGTCAGGAGATCGAGACCATCCTGGCTAACATGGTGAAACCCCATCTCTACTAAAAAAAAAAAAAATACAAAAAATTAGCCAGACATGGTGGCGCCCGCCTGTAGTCCCAGCTAGTCGGGAGGTTGAGGCAGGAGGATGGCCTGAACCTGGGAGGCGGAGCTTGCAGTAAGCCGAAATGGCGCCACTACACTCTAGCCTGGGCAAAAAGAGTGAAACTCCATCTCAAAAAATTTCTGTACTTGAAGTAAGAATTGATGGGTACTAACTATGCTAAAAACATACCTAAGAAAGTAATTTGAGATTAGTAGGAGAGGCTTATGTAATGACCACCATCAATTTCACTGTTCTCCGAGGACTCTTGGGGCAGGGGGAGAGCTAAAGTTGTCTGTTGAAGGCTTAAAAAAGGTCTTACCTCCCTTATTTCCCCTTTCTTAAGACATAGAGAAGAAATTAAATCTCAGGGATTTTCTTGACATTGAAAATGACCCATAGTTGCTCTGTTCCAGTTAGAGACTCTGGGGAATAAGATTTTAGTGAAATATATCGAGTATAGTGAGGGGCATTAGTGTGGAAACAGCATAATAAAGTTTTACAGAAACATGTTTCCATGTTTCCACTTGCAGGAATTTCAGGGGCTGCTTTGAGGTTTTCGTAGTATTTCGTCCTCTACAGGAAGACTTCTGTTGGCTTTGAATCTTTTCTCTGACTTCTTGGTGACCATGTAGAGTATCTTTTTAAACTGGTTATTTTTCAAAAATGGGAATTCTGACCATTGTTAATGTATTTTAATTTGCACCCTAACTAAATTTTGTTTTCTGCTTTTATATGATTATATACTAAATAATTGAATTTGTAGGTGATGGAGAGGTAATTGAACAAATTATAAGCCTGCAAACCAATGATAATGATGAACGCAGCCCAGAATCGAGTATTCTTGATGGAATGATAAGACAGTTGCAGCAGCAGCAAGATCAGAGAATGGGAGCCGATCAGGATGCTACTCCAAGAGGACTTTCAAATGGTGAAGAAACACCCCGGAGAGGTAATAGATAATGATAAATATTTTACCTGAATATGGCTGCATTGAAATTAAAGAGTAAATGAAGTCTTTGTCAGGTACATGCAATGTGAGAAACTTGGGTAAACATTGTATTTTTACAGCTTAATTAGTAGTCTGAAGGTGGCTTTATGAGGTGTAAGGTGATGTAGTAACAAATGAATATTTGAGTTTCAAGTACTGCTGAAGCCTTTTGTGCTGTAAATATACAGTATTTACAAAATTGTATTAAATAGGAGCGAATAACAAATTGCTTTTTAAAATAAAAACATAGTTCTAGCTTTTCTTTGCTTTAACATTGGTAATTTTTGAAAAACTGTATTGGGTAGAGTATGATTTTTCTTATTGAATCAAAGTTTGAAAACTTAATGCGTTTTCAGTGTTGTGTCCTTAATAGTGCAGTGTAGAAGTAAATACAGAACAATCGCCAGTCTCCTCTAATTTCCACTATTTACTTTGTTTCTAGTCCAATGTGATTTAAAAGTTTCGTTATTCATTTAAAATAGTACTTTTTTCTCTTAGACTTACAGCATAAGACTTTATTTTTTTATTTTGGAAAGAAAGGTTGGAAGAAGGATACTATGAACACCCATATATTTTTTACCTAGATTCCTTATATTACTATACTTGCCTTAGCTTTTTTTGTGTGTATGTGTGCACACACACATTCCTCTATGTTTTTCTGAAGCGTTTGAGAGTAAGACTTGTGACACTTTATACCTTAATGCTTCATCTTGTATCATCTAAGAACTAGAGATACTCTCTTACATAACCATAATACAGCGATCACATTCAATAAGCTGAATATAATTGTTGATATAGCACTGCTATCTAATTTTGAGTCCTTACTTACACTTCCCAGTTGTCTCAATAACTTGTCCTTCCTCATGCCTGTTTTTAGAAAAATTTAGAATTTAATGAAGCCCTGCTCATTACATTTTAGGATTATGTATTTTATTTTATTTTATTTTATTTTATTTTTTTGAGACAGAGTCTCTCTGTGTCGCCCAGCCTGGAGTGCAGTGGCCGGATCTCAGCTCACTGCAAGTTCCACCTCCCGGGTTTACGCCATTCTCCTGCCTCGGCCTCCCGAGTAGCTGGGACTACAGGCGCCCGCCACCTCGCCTGGCTAGTTTTTTGTATTTTTTAGTAGAGACGGGGTTTCACCGTGTTAGCCAGGATGGTCTCGATCTCCTGACCTCGTGATCCGCCCGTCTCGGCCTCCCAAAGTGCTGGGATTACAGGCTTGAGCCACCGCGCCCAACCTATGTCTTTTAATCCTGAAAAGTTTCCTCAGAGCACTGGTACTTTGGAAAGATTCGGGCCCGTTGTTTTCACAAGATTGCTCTCAATTTGGATTTGTCTGATTATTTCCTCATAATTGGATTCAGGTTAAACATTTAGACAGGAATACTGAATAGTTGATACTATGTCCCCAGTCTGTCATGGCAAGAGGCACAAGATACATAAATGCATTCTTCTGTGCCTACTGTATTGCCTGAACAATATATTCTAGAAATCCATATCAGTTCACAGAATTCAGAATTCTTCATCCTTTTTTTTTATTACAGGTTCGTACTCCTCCTCTGTGTGGAGTAACTAATCTTTGTAATCTCTTTATGGGCATTTAGGTTGTTTCTTGTACTTTGCTGTTATAAGTGATGTGATAAATAGCTTTATGCATGTTTTCAAATTGTTGGAGAATAACGCTATGACTTGGGCAGTTAAATTTGGAATTTATATTTCTCAATTCAAAAATGTTTCTTCAATGTATAGTATTTTAATATAAATGCTTGGTTTACTAGTGGGGCATTTAATGCCATTTGAAGTTGGTGAAGCATAGTGTGTTCTCTGATGCACATTGGTACATGTGTGATTGGTAAATACAGTGTGGTACATAGAAGAGTGCAGAAGTTGCATTCACTTGTGGATTTTTCCCTAGGCAAGAAGAGCTGGCATGGCTGGAGTACAGCTCTATAGCTTCCCACAAGAATCAATATAACCCTCAGGTTTTCTGTTGTGTTAGTAGCAGAAGCCCCTTCACCTGGTATTGTAAGAAAATAAGCACTTTGTCTGGGACTTCCTCCTCAGAGGCTGGTCTCTGTGGCTTCCAGCTCATGGGACGTTGCTCAGCCTCCTATACCCACCTTAACAGCAGCCCCTCAGGCTCAGAGCTTCACTGTTGTCTTCATTGCCTCATCACCCACTTGCCCAGCTCTATTTTAAGCACGGCTGGCATTAACCCACAACATTTTATTTGTTTGACTTTTTAATAACCATCTTGACAGCTACTTGCCTTGGTGGCTCAGATTATCTCTTGAGAATCATGAGTATCATGATTACTGTTATAAGACCACCTTGATTTCAGATACCTGTCTTCAGTTCAAAAAGACATTTTTTTAGTGTGCAATTTTGAAGACGGCACAGTTTTTAGGAATGCATATATAATGTAAAATGTACATTTTATAATTTCTGAAAGTCTAGTAAAAATTGAAATTTAGGTTTAATAGTTAATGTTTGTTCAGTATTCTACATTTTGATCTTAGTCATGTTAAGGTTTTGTCAGGCTGAGTGCGGTGACTCATGCCTATTATCCCAGCACTTTGGGAAGCCATGGTGGGAGGATTGCTTGAGGCCAGGAGTTTGAGACTAGCCCGGGCAACATAGTGAGACCTTGTCTGTACAGAAAATTAATTTAAAAAAGATTTTTCTCACAAAGTGTTTTCAGTAGATACTTCTCTTAGTTCTTTATTTTTGGTGGGCATCTTAGGTGAACGTGTGCTTGTTACATGCTAAATGTATATTAGTTTAAAAGTGTATTGGAACCAGTTCCTGATCATTTTTTCCTAGGTTTTAGAAGACTGAGCTTAGACATTCAGTCTCCTCCAAATATTGGTCTGCGTCGTAGTGGACAAGTTGAAGGTGTTCGTCAGATGCATCAAAATGCTCCACGCAGTCAGATTGCTACAGAACGTGACCTGCAGGCTTGGAAACGAAGAGTGGTTGTACCAGAGGTACCACTAGGCATATTTAGGTTTGTTTTAGGATATCTATTTATAATGTTTCTGTCTGTGAAAATATATTCATATGGTTATTTACACATTTTGTATTCCCTTAATTGTGTAAATAATTGTATAAATATTTTAGTAATGAGTGGGAATCTTACTATTAAATTGTGGTAGGAAAATGTCAAAATTATTCTCTAATGTTTTTACTATGTTAAAGGTTTTCAGAGCCAGTCTCGTTTCTTTTCTTTTTTTTTTTGAGACTGAGTTTCGCTCTTGTTGCCCAGGCTGGAGTGCAGTGGCGTGATCTTGGCTCACTGCAACTTCCGCTTCCCGGGATCATGTGATTCCCTGCCTCAGCCTCCCGAGTAGCTGGGATTACAGGCTCCCACCACCACGCCCAGTTAATGTTTTATATTTTTAGTAGAGACAGTGTTTCACTATGTTGACCAGGCTGATCTCGAACTCCTGACCTCAGGCGATCCGCCTGCCTCAGTCTCCCAAAGTGCTGGGATTATAGGTGTGAGCCGCCGTGCCCTGCTTTGTCCTGTTTTATCCATACACACACACAAACCCACTTTTGTCCTTTCAGTATTATTTTGAAAGAAATCCTAGATGTAATATTATTTTTGTCCGTAAGCATATTAGTGTGTATTTCTAAAAGGTAAGAAATTTAAAAATGTATAAAATAATGCCGTTACCATACCTTATAAAAACCATACCTTGGTTTCTCAGTATAACCAAATATCCAGGCTGTGTTCCAGTTGTTTCAGGTGTCATAAATGTTTTCAGTTTTTTACAAGACTGCTTCATAAATGATAATTCTATTAGAAGGTACACATAAATAGCCTCTTTTTGTGATGTTAGCAGCTATCAATGCTTAATGTGTAGATCATTAATTTATTAGCTGTTATAAAATCATGATTTTTAACTCTATGAAAACTTCTTCATTTATTATCTTGGACACTTCTAAAAAAGAAATCTACTCAAGTATACTTAATTATCCAGTAGCAAAGTTTGTATAGGAAAGGCAGAGTAGATGCTTATTTCGCTTTAAAATAAAGATTTATTCCTTTTCATTATTCAGCAACGACCAGTTTGTATGTGTGTGTGTGTTTTAATGTATAAATCAAATAGCTGGGGTTTAACTTACTTCTGGTATTCTTTATTGATGTTTAAATCATCTGTTTTCTAGCTATGAGGAGCCTCTTTTCAAGGCTCCCTATCCTTTCAAAATGACTAGTAGTTTTCCATAGCATCCTTACTATGAGACAGGGGAAGGTATTATAGTTCATCTTGTAAATTTTTTGACCTATATCTGAAATTAGTCTTTTAAGCAGCCCTATTTTCTTTGAGACAGAGTTGCTTTCGTTGTCCAGGCTGGAGTGCAATGGCATGATCTTGGTTCACCACAACCTCTGCCTCTGGGTTCAGGTGATTCTCCTGCCTCAGCCTCCCAAGTAGCTGGGACTACAGGCATGCGCCACCATGCCTGGCTAATTTTGTATTTTTAGTAGAGATGGGGTTTCTCCATGTTGGTCAGGCTGGTCTCGCACTTCCAACCTCAGGTGATCCGCCTGCCTTGGCCTCCTAAAATGCTGGGATTACAGGTGTGAGCCACCACGTCCAGCCTAAGAAATGATATTTTATATTGCTTCTAGGCCTTTTGGCTAAGATCAAGTGTAGAAATGATATTTTGTAATTATAATATGGACAGTAGTTTGGTGCTGAGTTGTAATGTACTGATTTGAGTTATTGAAATGGAAGCAGCAGATACTTTTTTCAATGATATCTAAAATGTTTCAGTATTTTCTCATATTTGTGTCTCATAATAACTTAATAGCTTGAAGATAATTTTGTAAATTTATATTTGTGTTTTTATATGTTTAACCAGAAGAGTTTCAGTGAATGCTGGAGTGGTATTAGATAGTACTTATATATTGTTCTGTGAATTTGGGAAGGACTAGAAAACAGTGAAAAGCAAAATGTGGAACTGTGATGAGAAATACAGAAAATCAATGTGTATATAGTATGCTATAATAAAGTTTTAAATTGGCATCTAAGTCTTATGGTCATCAGGACCAAAACTGTCATTTTGGGATGCTTTTTTATCAAAACCAAGGGAAGCAAACAGGTGTCGAGAGAAAGATTTGAAAAGTTAGTTTCTTAAACACACAAGCATTTATTTTCTTATCTGAAGGAAGACTAGAAATAATCTAAGGCTGGAATAGTGGTTCCACAGTTAATCAGAAACTGAGACTCCTGTATTTCTTATCTCTATCATGGAGCTTGGCTTCTAGTCTTTTTTTTTTTTTTTTTTTGAGACAGAGTTTCGCTTTTGTCACCTAGGCTGGAGTGCAATGGCATGATCTCGGCTCACTGCAACCTCTGCCTCCTGGGCGCAAGCGATTCTCTTGCCTCAGCCTCCAGAGTAGCTGGGACTACAGTCATGGGTCACCACACCCGGCTAATTTTGTATTTTCAGTAGAGATGGGGTTTCACCATGTTGGCCAGGCTGGTCTCAAACTCCTGACTTAAGGTAATACACCTGCCTTGGCCTCCCAAAGTTCTGGGATTACAGGCATGAACCACTGCATGCAGCGTTGGCTTCTAGTCTTAAGGTCACCGCATAGTCCAAGATAGCTGCTGAAGCTATAGCCGTTACCTATCTGTATTTGTGATGTAGGTTGAGATTTAGAACAAAAGAAGAAAGATGTTCATATGTCAGAAAGGACGTTTCTAGTCAAGGAAACTTGCTTTAAGTACCCACGTGGCATTTCTGCTTATAACTCATTGACCAGAATGTTGTCACTCGACCATACTAAGCTAAGGAGGACAGTAGGTAACACAGTGTCTATTTAAAGCAGCAAAGAGCCTGGATAAAAATTGGGATTGTGTTTCTAAGGAAGAAAAGGAGAATGGCAGCTAGCTCTCTGCCATAATATAATTTTCATAAAAAAGAACATAGCTTTTTCTAGCATTTTCTTCTAAAATAAAGCTCACGTGAGATTTTATAAAGGCGATACTTGATTGAGATGTGGTGATCATTGCCCATGGCAACAGTTCCAATAGTGGAAACAAGGGTGAATTTTGCATAACTGTATGTTAGGATATCATTTGATAAGGATCAAGAGTATTTAAAAATTTGATTTCTGACTATAAAAGTTTGTGTCTGTTGTGAAAAATTTAGGTAATAGATATACAAGCATAAAGGTAAAAGACAGCTGTGCAGAGCTATGAGCATATAATGTTGCTTACCAGTAAAAGTAATTCTTTTTGTGCCTGGGATTCAGGCACGTAGGTTTTTTTTTTTTTTTGAGATGGAGTTCTGCTTTTGTTGCCTGGGCTGGAGTGTAATGGCGCAATCCTGGCTCACTGCAACCTCCATCTCCCGGGTTCAAGCGATTCTCCTGCCTCAGCCTCCAGAGTAGCTGGCATGCCCAGCTAATTTTTTGTATTTTTGGTAGAGACGGGGTTTCACCATGTTGGCCAGGCTGGTCGTGAACTCCTGACCTCAGGTGATCCACGCGCCTCGGCCTCCCAAAGTGCCAGGATTACAGGCGTGGGCCACTGTGTTTGGCCATATAAAGATTCTTTTAGGCCGGTCTGTGGGCTTTAGTGTGTGCTGTGGGCTGTGTGAGTGTGGGCTGTCAGGCGTACTTAGAGAAAAATGCAATTTTCTTAAAAATCAGTTTTTGTCCTTACAGCATTCACTCTTACACTCTGTCGAGTGTCTAGTTATATCTTGGAGCATGGCCAAGATTTCAGTATTAAACCTTTTTCCTTTGAGTTGTTAAAGTAAACAAAAACATAAAAGCCACGTGCTTTTAATAATGTTCCAGTTGGAGAAAAGGGACAATCAGTCTTTTCCAGAGAAGAAAAATGATTTTTAGTACCTTCTTCTTGGTGGCAGGTCCTTTGCTTTGAAATTGGTCACAATAACATAATCTTTTTGTTGTATCATGTGAGTGAAATATAGGTGATTAGAAAAACCAGTAACATTGTAATTCTTGTTTTCTATAAATTATCAAGCATAGCTTGAATAAATGTGGAGAAGGCAGACTCTGTGCTTATTTTTTCTTTAGAGAAAGAAATTGCAATCTTAGAAAATCATGAAGACGTTTTGAAAAGCTATTATGGGAGATACTGTTTGAATTGGTCCTAGTAGGACCAGTCAGAAAACAAATGAATGAGTATTTTTGCCTCAAATATGAAAAATAGGTCCTTCTAACGGCCTCTGAGATTTTATTTATATTAATATAAATTTTTAACAAGTTTTGTTTTAACTTTAGAGATTTTGTGTATTTTTAAAGTATATAAGCTTATGATTTATAGAATCAAACTGGTTTTTGTTCTTTATATCCTTTAGTTATCCATCAGTTCAGTAGTTAATATAACTGGGTATTTAAATTTGTAGGAAGCTGGAAGACTTCCGATTAGAGAAAGGTGAAGAGGAAAGAAATCTTTATATAATAGGAAGAAAAAGAAAGACACTTCAGCTCTCACATAAGGTAACCTAATTCTGTTTTCTTAGCAAATTAGAAATTAAATTGAAATTTAGAGTTTTCTTTTTGATTTATAAAACTCAGTAACTTTCATCTGAAGTGGAGTGTTTCTTGCTTAAGGTTTTCTGTTTGGGATTTAAAATAGTAGACTTAAGGTTATACAGCTGTTGGAAAGGAGTAGTTTGAAAACTTGAGAAAAAATGCCTAGTGCCTAACAATGGTATTGAGTTCTTAGTTACTAAATTATTTGATTCTGAATTTTCGTTTGGTTCTTTTTTTTTAGGGCTCTCAGTTTTCTACTAAAATTCTCATTGTTTTAATTACTTGGAAATCAGCCATAGCTATTTTAAAAACAGAGGTCTGGTAATTTCATTTTTTCCAATGTCTTGCTTCTCTGTGGACCATTTTCTATTGCCTATTGATTTTCTTTTTTATCATCATGTTTTTGTTTCTTTTTTGATTGTTAAATGTTAGAAAAGATTTGAAGCACAGGATGGCTTTGTCCCCAGAGAAGATTTACATTGGCTTCTGGCAGCCTTCTAGGGCCACTCTCAAGCCTATATTGCCTTAACCGAACAAGAATGGGCTTTAGTTCCTTGGGATTATTGTTGTGTCTGTAGTTTACCTACAGATCTAGCCTGTAGCCCTTTGGGCTAACAGCCAAAGCCTGGGGGATTTCCCTACATATAGGAGGCTATGAATTGCAAATTTATTAACCTAACTCATGAGTTAGTCTGTGTTTTTTGCTTACTTGCTAAACCTTCCAGCTTCCTCTTCTAGAATGAAATTCTAGGGTTAAAAAATATGTATATATACACACACACATATGTCTTCTTTTTTTGATCTTGGTTCTGTGATTCTTCATAACCTTTTAAGGCATATAGTGCCTTTAAACAGATTTGTTAAAAAATATGTTTTACCAGATTTTCTAGTTTTTCTTAGTGAAAGTTTGGCCCACCTACGTGTTAACCTATTATCACTCATGAAATTCATTAATAGGAATTTTTGCCAAAATCAGTACTGACAAATTCAGTTCATTTTAAGATCAACCAGTAATAATGTTGAAATTCTAAAACTGACCAATGCTCATTAGACAGATGCCCACTCATGTGAAAACTTATTTGTGCATAAATTTAAGGGATATGTGCTCTCATTGGGTAGTCTCATCTGCCTTTGGTGGTTGGGGAATGGCATGCCTTTTAAAAAAACTAAAACCAGTATAGTTATTTTATTTGGCTGATTTTGAATGATTATTCTGTTTTCATAAAAATATATTTAAAACATTTAGGTCATTTAGGCTGATTCCATGTCCTATGCTATTGTGAATAGTGCTTTAGTGAACATAGATGTGTATATGTCATTATGGTAGAATGAGTTGTATTCCTTTGGGTATATACCCAGTAATGGGATTATTTGGTTGAATGGTAATTCTGAGTTCTTTGAGAGAGATCATTAAACTGCTTTCCACAGTGGTTGAATTAAGTTACAGTCTCACTAGCAGTGTATAATCATTCTCTTTTCTCTGCAACTTCATCAGCGTCTGCTATTTTTTGATGCTCTCCACCCCCCAGTTTTTTTTTTTTTTTTTTTTTTTTTTTTTGCGGGGAGGTAGGGTCTCACTCTTGCCCAGGCTGGAGTGTAGTGGTGCAATCATGGCTCACTCACTGCAGCCTCAACCTCCTGGGCTTGAGTGATCCTCCCACCTCAGCCTCCCTAGTAGCTGGGACTATAGGTGTGTACCACCATGCCCAGTTAATTTTTTGTTTTTTGTTTTTGTTGTTGTTTTTTAGGGGCAGGGGTTTCTCCACGTTGCCTGGGTAGGTCTCGAACTTCTGGGCTCAAGCGATCTGCCTGCCTTGTCCTCTCAAAGTGCTGGGATTACAGGTGTGAGCCCCCACGTCTGGCCTTGACTTTTAAATAATAGCCATTCTGACTAGTGTGAGATGGTATCTCATTGTGGTTTTGATTTACATTTCTCTAATGATTAGAATGCTGAGCATTTTTTCTTCACACCTATGTATATAGATAGTGAGACGTTCCTTGAGAAGTTGCTTACTGCATCATAATGTATGAATATATATTTTTCATTTCTGAGATGTATACTTTTAAGGTGACACCCTTTCAGATTATTGTTATTTTCCCTTATTCTTGGTAAACCAGTTAACTTATAGCATAGTTTGGAAAATGCCCATCTAATGTGCATTTTCTCATGTTTTCTAAGGACCTTAAAAGTAAAATTACTAAGCTTGAGTTAAAACTGTACGGCAGAAATACTACCTTCTTTTTAAGCTTTTCGTTTTTTTCTTTTTGCTTTAAATCCTTTTGGAAACTTGATAGAATTCCCATTTTGTTGATATTGTCCTTATTTAGGTGTTGATTTTCATTCGCATGTTTTTCTGTGTTTCAGTCGGATTCAGTGGTTTTGGCATCACAGTCTAGACAAAGGACATGTAGGCGTAAATACCCAAATTATGGTAGAAGAAATCGTAGCTGGCACGAGTTATCTTCTGGAAATGAGTCTTCAAGCTCCGTAAGACATGTAAGTGGAAAACTTTAAAATGTTATAATCTTAAATGAATTTGTCTTAGTTCTTTACTTTGAATGAATATACCCCAAATTTATATGAAAATATAGCATTCTGCAGAGATTAATATGAAATTTCACATTTTGAATGTTAACAAAAACTTTTAATGGCTAAGATAGTCACACACACCGTACACTTGTGCAATCCAGTGGTTTTACATGTTGAGCATCCCAACTCAGAAATTCGAAATGCACCAAAATCTGAAACTTTATATAAACTTGATGTTCTAGTGTGCATTTCAGATTTTGGATTTTTGCATTTGGCATGTTCAACCTGTAAGTGCAAATGCAAATTTTCCAAAATCTGAAAAAATACAAAATCTGAAACAATTCTATTCCCAAGCGTTCTGGATAAGCGGTATATAACCTGTAGAATATTGACAGAGTTGGGCCATCGTCACGACCCCTGTTAAATTTTTAAAACATTTCATCATCCCTAAAAGAAATCCTATTCCCATTTGCAGTCACTTGCCAGTCCCTCCCTCTCCCCCAGCCCCTCACAATCACTGATACATTTTCTTTTTCTGCATTTGCCTGTTGTGGACATTTTATATGAATGGGACTTTTTTTTTCTTTTTTTTTTGGAGACGAAGTCTCGCTCTCTCGCCAGGCTGGAGTGCAGTGGCATGATCTCGGCTCACTGCAACCTCCACCTCCCGGGTTCAAGCGATTCTTCTGCCTCAGCTTCCCGAGTAGCTGGGACTACAGGTGAGTGGTGGCCCAGCTAATTTTTGTATTTTTAGTAGAGAAGGGGTTTTCAACATGTTGGCTAGGATGGTCTGGATCTCTTGACCTCATGATCTGCTCGCCTTGGCCTCCCAGAGTGCTGAGATTACAGACGTGAGCCACCACGCTTGGCCGGATGGGCTCTTAAAATACGATTTTGTGACTGGCTTCTTTGACATTGCATAATGTTTTCTCTAATGATTAGTAGGTTGAGCATTTGTGTAGCATGTATCAATACTTCATTCTTTTTTTTATTTTTTATTGCCTAGTAATTCTCTCATTGGATGTACCACATTTTGTTTATCCATTTATCAGTTGATGGACATTTGTATTGTTTCCACTTTTTGGCTGTTATGAATAGTGCTGCTTATCAACATTCATGACAGGTTTTTGTTTAGACATGCATTTTCATTTCTTTTGGGTCATGCTGGGAGATGGTATGCTGAGTCATATGGCAAGTCTTACGTTTTAACTTTTTGAGGACCTGCCAGACTCCTTCAGATTGGCTCTACCATTTTATATTCCCATCAGAAATATGAGAGTTCCAGTTTATCTACATCCTCACCAATGATTGTTATTATTCCATTTTATTTGTGTTATCTTAATGGCGTGAAGTGTAGTATCTCTTGGTTTCAGTTTGCATTTCCCTAATGACCAGTAATGTTGAACATGTTTGATGCTTATTCATATCTTTTGCTTATTTTTCACTTTTTTTGGGGGGGGTCTTTTTATTGCTGTAAGAATTCTTTATGTATTCTGGATACAGTCCTTTATGACTTGTAGATATATGACTTGTAGAAATTTTATTCCATTCTGTGGGTTGTCTTTTCACTTCTTTGGTGGTGTCTTTTGAAGGATGAAAGTTTTAAATATCGATGACATTCATTTTATTTTTTCCTTACTGGCTTGTTCTTTTGCTGTTGTGTCTAAGTCTTTCTTTAATACCTTTGATTGATTTTTAATAATCATGTAAGCTGTTGGTCTTCATTTTGATTTGTTTGAGGAAGAAACCAATTTTTTTTGGTAAAGAATATTTAATAGGCTGGGTGCGGTGGCTCCTGCCTGTAATCCCAGCACTTTGGGAGGCCAAGGTGGGCAGATCACTCCTGAGGTCAGGAGTTCAAGACCAGCCTGGCTAACCTGGTGAAACCCTGTCTCTACTAAAAATACAAAATTTAGTCGGATGTGGTGGTCCCAAGTAGCATGTGATCCCAGCTACTTGGGAGGCTGAGGCAGGAGAATCGCTTGAACCCGGGAGGTGGATGTTGCAGTGAGCCGAGATCGCGCCACTGCACTCCAGCCTGAATGACAGAGTGAGACTCTTGTCTCAAAAAAAAAAAAAAAAACAGAGTATTTAATATTACAGTGTTAAAATTTCCTGATTGAGTAATGTTGTAAGGAATAAAGTGTTATGTATGACTGAAAAGTTCATTTAATTGTCTTATGATGCAGTAGGTTAATAGTTAAGCATGGGGTTTGAGTTTAAATCTAAATTTTTTTTTTTTTTTTTTTTTTTTTTTAGACAGAGTCTTGCTCTGTCGCCAAGGCTGAAGTGCAGTGGTGTGATCTCGGCTCACTGCAAGCTCTGCCTCCCAGGTTCAAGCGATTCTCCTGCCTGAGCCTCCCAAATAGCTGGGACTGCAGGTGCCTGCCACCACGCCCGGCTAATTTTTTTTTTTTTTGGTATTTTTTTTTTAAGTAGAGATGGGGTTTCACCATGTTAGCCAGAATGGTCTCGATCTCCTGACCTCATGATCCACCTGCCGCGGCCTCCCAAAGTGCTGGAATTACAGGCATGAGCCACCGCGCCCAGCCTAAATCCGAATTCTTTTACTTTGGCACTTTGCTTTGCTTTTCTGTGCCCCTGCCTATGTGATATGTACCTCAGAGGTGCAGCAATATGTACCTCAGAGGTGTGGTGAGAATTAATCAATAATGTCAAGTGTTTAAAATAGTACCCATTACACAATAATGTTAGCTATGATTATGATTAAAACCATCTGTTTAAACTATTTTTATTTTTTTGAGACAGGATCTTGCTCTGTTGCCTAGGCTGTAGTACATGGTGCAATCATGGCTCACTGTAGCCTCAAACTCCTGGACTCAAGCTATCCTCCTCCTTCAGCCTCTGGAGTAGCTGGGATTAACAGGCACCAGCCACCCTGCCTGGCTAAACTATTATATTATGTAATGAGAATGTTTTTACATTTTTTTTTTTTTTTGAGATGGGGTCTTGCTCTGTACCTCAGGATATAAATATGAGTAGGAAACAGTTATTTTATTATCTGTCATTTTTATATTGGTTGACCTTTTTCTTTTTTCTTTTTCTGCATACGTATTTCTTCCAAAGGTTCTATATGTAACTTCCATTGTATGACGTAAGCAATTGGATAGTCAGGTTATATCATGGTTTGGAATAAAGGATTATATATAGACTTTGCCTTTGGGAGGAAGGTATAGTATCCTAGTCTGGAAATAACTGTTTTACCATGCAGCTCTGTTCCAACCTCTCCCCCTCAAGTACCTTGAATTTGCCTAACATAATAGACATGGGATGGTTTCCTTTGGGAAAACTGTTACATGTAAGGTCATTCTAGAAAGTCTAGGGTGGTATGTAGTGGCGTTATCATTATTGACATGGAAATACATGAATTATTATCAAGGATATACAAAATCCTAGAATCAATATGTAAAAAGTGCTATAAAAGGGCTAAACATTAATGCATTTTATTATGCCTCGGAGGCACTATTGTAAATGTTTTATGCGTTATCTAATTTCATCATTCCAACAAGTAGGAATTAAGGCACTCTTATAATCTCTTTTAAAAATGAGGAAACTGAGGTACAGGTATGGAGGTTCAGTAACTTTCCCACATTTATATAAAAAGTTAGCAGCATGGTTTTAATCATAATCATAGCTAACATTATGCTTAGCATAGAAAAGCTAAGCAAAGTGCCAAAGTAAAAGAATTTGGATTTAGGCTGGGTGTGGTGGCTCATACCTATAATCCCAGCACTTTGGGTGGCCGAGGCGGGTGGATTTACGAGGTCAGGAGATTGAGACCATCCTGGCTAACATGGTGAAACCCCGTCTCTACTAAAAATACAAAAAATTAGCCGGATATGGTGGTGGGCGCCTGTAGTCCCAGCTATTGGGGAGGCTGAGGCAGGAGAATGGCGTGAACCCAGGAGGCGGAGCTTGCAGTGAGCTGAGATCACACCACTGCACTCCAGCCTGGGCAACAGAGCAAGACTCTGTCTCAAAAAAAAAAAAAAAAGAAATTAGCAGCATGATCTCAGAGCAGAAACCCTGCCTTCCCGAAGCATCAGTTCACTTGAGGATTTGGGAAAATTAAACTTAAAAAAAAAACATTTATTGAGTGCCTCCTATCTGCCTGGTGTAAATTTTTAATTTTGATGTAATTTCAGACATAAAAGTTCTGAGAATAATAAAAAATTCCTTTGTGTTTACTAACCTGAATGTTAGCACTCTCCTGTTTGTATGAATATATTTTAATCCTTTTGAGAGTGAGTTGTACGTATGCCTCTTGATATCTACCTATTTCCTTGTGTATTTTCAAAAACAAGTGATATAATTATCAAAATCAGGCTGGGTGCAGTGCCTCATGCCTGTAATTCTCAGCACTTGGGGAGACCAAGGTGGGAGGATTGCTTGAGCCCAGGAGTTCGAGACCAGCGTGGGCAATATAGGGCAACCCCTCCTCCACAAAAAAAATGAGAAAAAAATAATTAACTGGGGGTGGTGACCCACCTGTAGCCCCAGCTTCTCTGGAGTCTGAGGCAGGATAATCACTTGAGCCTAGGAGGTCGAGGCTGCAATGAGCCTTGGTTGCACCACTGTACTCAAGCCTGGGTGACAGAGTGAGACACTGTGTCAAAAAAACAAAACAAAAAATGAGGCAACAAGCAATATAATGTTATTATCAGATTTGCAGATCTTACTCAAATTTTACCAGTCAGTGGTCCTGATAATTTTCGTAGCAAAAGAAAATCCTAGATTATGTGTTACATTTTGTTGTGTCTGTTTAGTAACCTGAATCTAGTCAAGTTCCTCAATTTTTGTTTTAATGTTGATATTTTTTGATGATTTATGACTAGTAATTTTGATGATTAGGGTCATGCAGTTTTGTCAGTATTACTACAGAAAATACACTATTCTCAGTGCATCACATCAGAAAGCACATGATTTGTGTGATACGTGCTTTGATC